ACAAACATATCTTGCTTAGCAATGCAAATTCCGGTCCCAATTGTCGTAAATTGTGGACTACCTGAAGTGGGATCTACAATTAACAATTGTAGATGGTTAATTAATTATCTTAATTAAGTTTAATTCCACTGGTTAATTGAGAACAATGAATCAGTGGAAGAACGGCTTGCCTTCAGAAGTGGTGGGTGCTTCATCACTGGAGGTTTTTAAGAAGAGGCTGGACAGCCACTTCCAGGTCTATTCTGATTAATTGATTAAATGTTGCACTGAGCAATGAGGGTGGGACTAGATGACCTCTGAGGCTCCTTCTAATCCATGATTCGGTAAACATTGAGTTAACCTCTTTTCCTGGCTGTGCACAATTCATGAATCACGCCCAAAGATCTGGATTATAACATATCCAGCTAAGCCACCGAAAAGCTAGAACTAACCAGAGTTAAAACCAACCAATGGATAGAGCCACTATCAGCTCTTTTTTTTATCTAACCTGGTTAAATCAAGGAGAGAAGCAACCTAGAACTAAGGAGAAACTTCCTGAAAGAACAATTAACCAGTGGAACAACCTGCCTCCAGAAGTGGTGAATGGTCCAATACTGGAAGTTTTTAAGAAGAGACTGGACAGCCATTTGTCTGAAATGGTATAGGGTTTCCTGCCTGAGCAGGGGGTTGGACTAGATGACCTTCAATGTCCCTTCCAACTTTATTATTATTATTATTATTGTTGTTGTTGTTGTTGTTGTGGATCATTGCACAGTCAGCCAGATGTTCAGACTAGATTTGGCATTTTGTCTACCTATCGAGTCCTTACCCAGGACCTGGGATAGGCAGATGTGGATGTTTGATGGTATTACAGATAATAATTATTATTATGGATCATCGCACAGTCAGCCAGATGTTCAGACTGGATTTGGCATTTTGTCTACCTATCGAGTCCTTCCCAAGGACCTGGGATAGGCAGATGTGGATGTTTGATGGTATTACAGATATCGTCGCAGGATGGAAGCAGTTCCTAGTAAGGCCGCCTTTTGCAATTGACTGATGGCGAATTTGTCAGTGCCGATGATGGTGTTCAAGTGGTGCTCCAGTTGTTTTGGGATTGCACCCAAGGCGCCTATTACTATTGGTACTACCTTTGCTTGCTTTTGCCACAGTCTTTCTATTTCTATTTGTAGGTCTTTGTATTTTGTTATCTTCTCCAGTTCTTTCTCGTCTATTCTGTGGTCTCCAGGCACTGCCACGTCCACTATCCAGACTTTTTTGCCTTTCTTATCGACAACTGTTAAGTCCGGGGTGTTATGTTGCAGGTGCTTGTCTGTTTGAATTCTGAAGTCCCAGAGCAGTTTAATTTTATCATTTTCTATGACTTTCTCTATTTTATGATCCCACCAGTTTTTGCTTACAATTATTATTATTATTATTATTATTATTATTATTATTATTATTATTATTATTATTATTATTATTATTATTACTACTATTACTACTACTACTACTACTACTATTATATGCACCTGCGGGAACATAGCTAGGGATTGACCATTGGCGATTGACCTTTTTCCTCCAAAAAGGCGAGAAACCAGCGTGGTACGTTGGATTTCTTTGGGATTTCTGCAAAAAAGGAAAGGAAAGGAAAATAACGTCGCTTTTTGCATTCTGCAGAAATGTGTCGAAAACATTTTCTCCCCGTCGGTCCCGAGAGAATCTGGAATGATTAAAACCGAGAAAAGAAACCTTAATATAGGCATTAAAGCGGCAATCGGGGGTTGGCTGGGAAGAGGGAGCGAGGCGTGAGAGCCGGCAAGACACCAAGAGATGTTTTTCGGAGGTTTTCTCAAATGCCGGGTTGGAAGAGAAAATGGGTTGCTTGCGGATGGAGGCCTGTGGATNATTATTATGGATCATCGCACAGTCAGCCAGATGTTCAGACTGGATTTGGCATTTTGTCTACCTATCGAGTCCTTACCAAGGACCTGGGATAGGCAGATGTGGATGTTTGATGGTATTACAGATATCGTCGCAGGATGGAAGCAGTTCCTAGTAAGGCCGCCTTTTGCAATTGACTAATAGCGAATTTGTCAATGCCAATTATTATTATTATTATTATTATTATTATTATTATTATTATTATTATTATTATTATTATTATTATTATTATTATTATTAAACTGGACCTACCCCATTCCTGCAACCGTTCTTCATATGTTTTATCCTCCAGGCCCCTTAATCATCTTTGTTGCTCTTCTCTGCACTCTTTCCAGAGTCTCAACCTCTGCAGGACCTCCCTGGGGATACTTATGACCCAGCTGCGAATTTCCATGATCAGCCCCCCCCCCCCAGCCACTCCATTCACATGACTGCATTTCAGCTAATGGGCTGCATTTACAACCATTAAGAGGGTCCAAAGTGAATTTCATTTATTTGGGGCAGGTGGATTCGAGGGTCAGCCTCTCCCTCCCTCCCTCCTCCCTTCCCAACCTTATTTGAGGCATTCAAAGTTATTTAAAAGAATAATAAAGTTGAAAGGGATCTGGGAGGTTGTCTAGTCCAACCCTCTGCTCAAGCAGGAGACCCCATTTCAGAGAAATGATTGTCTAATCTCTTCTTTAAAATCTTCAGGGATGGAGCACCCACAACTTCTGGAGGCAGGTTGTTCCACTGGTTAATTGTTCTCACTGTCAGGAAGTTTCTCCTCAGTTCTAGGTTGCTTCTCTCCTTGATTAGTTTCCATCCGTTGCTTTTTCTTGTCCTGCCTTCAGGTGCTTTGGAGAATAGCTTGACTCCCTCTTCTTTGGGGCAACCCCTGAGATATTGGAAGATTGCTATCCTGTCACCCCTCGTCCTTCTTTTCGTTAAACTAGACATCCCCAATTCTTGTAATCCTTCTCCGTATGTTTTTTTAGCCTCCAGTCGCCACCTAAAATTGCAGCCTCAACTAATATTGCATGCAACTTGAGTTCAACTGAGAATTCCTTTGAAAAACGAGAAGAAAAGGGCTAAATTCGATCCTTGTTACCATTTTGGCAGTGGATATTGTGCATTTCCCACCGGTGGCTGGGGAATTCTGGGAATTGAAGACCACCCATCTTAAAGCTGCCAAAGAAGAATAGAATAAATACTTTATTGTCATTTTGAACGTACGCTGATCGGCATACATTAAAATGAAATTTCGTGGCAGACAGCTGTCAAAGGGCCACCACCTCCAGTACACACTACGTAAATATGACAAAAATAAATACAGAATTATGCATACACCCACATATATGACACAGAGACACTACACAGTCTAGTTTGGATTATGTATATATGTGCATGGCGAGAGAGAAGCTGACCTATACCAGGGGTAGGCAACCTTGGCTCTTTTATGACTCGTGGACTTCAACTCCCAGCATTCCTGAGCCAGCCATGCTGAGGGGAAAGGGAGAGGTTTCCAAGCTGAGCCATGCTGGCTCAGGAATTCTGGGAGTTGAAGTCCACGAGTCATAAAAGAGCCAAAGTTGCCTATCCCTGACCTAGATGATAGATAGATAGATAGACAGACAGACAGACAGACAGACAGACAGACAGACAGACAGACGATAGATACACCTAGACCAGGGGTAGGCAACCTTGGCTCTTTTATGACTCGTGGACTTCAACTCCCAGAATTCCTGAGCCAGCCATGCTGAGGGGAAAGGGAGAGGCTTCCAAGCTGAGCCATGCTGGCTCAGGAATTCTGGGAGTTGAAGTCCACGAGTCATAAAAGAGCCAAAGTTGCCTATCCCTGACCTAGATGATAGATAGATAGATAGACAGACAGACAGACAGACAGACAGACAGACGATAGATACACCTAGACCAGGGGTAGGCAACCTTGGCTCTTTTATGACTCGTGGACTTCAACTCCCAGAATTCCTGAGCCAGCCATGCTGAGGGGAAAGGGAGAGGCTTCCAAGCTGAGCCATGCTGGCTCAGGAATTCTGGGAGTTGAAGTCCACGGTCATAAAAGAGCCAAGGTTGCCTACCCCTGGCCTAGATGGTTTTAGTGCATCTTGGTATTAGACCAATAGCCAGTTCAGCATAGTGGTGAAGGCACCAGGTTAGAAACTGGGAGAACTGGGAGTTCTAGTCCTGCCCTGGGAACAAAGCCAGCTGCTTGATCTTGAGCCAGTCCCTTTCTCTTCGCCCCAAGAAAGAGAAAATGGCAAACAACTTCTGAAAACCTTTTGTCAGGGAAACTGTCCAGGCAGTATCCGAGAATAGGACACAATTAAAAAAAATAAAATACTGTAAGTATCCTCAACTTATGACCACAACTGAGCCTAAAATTTCCGTTGCTAAGCAAGACAGTCATTAAGTGAGTATTGCCCCATTTTATGATCTTTCTTGCCGCAGTCGTTATGTGAATTGCTCTAATTGTTAAGTTAGCTACACGGTTGCTAAGGGAATCTGCCTTNGAATAGGACACAATTAAAAAAAATAAAATACTGTAAGTATCCTCAACTTATGACCACAACTGAGCCTAAAATTTCCGTTGCTAAGCAAGACAGTCATTAAGTGAGTATTGCCCCATTTTATGATCTTTCTTGCCGCAGTCGTTATGTGAATTGCTCTAATTGTTAAGTTAGCTACACGGTTGCTAAGGGAATCTGCCTTCCTCATTGATTTTGCTCGTCTGAAGGTGATTGCATAATCCCGGGACACTGCAACCGTCATAAATCTGAGTCAGTTGCTAAGCAGCTGAATTTTGATCACGTGATGCTGCAAACGGTCGTAAGTGTGCAAAACGGTCTTCACTTTTTTCAGCGCCATTTTAACTTCGAACGGTCACTAAACAAATGGATGTAACTTGAGGACTATCTGTATGAGGTTCGGTGTCTTTGTCGGCTTGTCATTCTTACAGTGGCTCAATCCAATCTTTTGTTTTTAAATCTCTACTTCTATTTTTTGCAGTGTTTCCCTATTATGCCCAATATCTCGACAAAATTGAAGGAATGAAATCTTTTTTTTTCCCCCTCTTCCAGGACCCTCCTTCTGAGCACGGGAGCCCGCTGTGCGCCTCGGCTGCCCAACTCCTGCCCAGCCAAAGGGGCTTTACGAACAGTCCAGCCTCGCTGGCATCCAGTCGCAGCACCACACCTGTCAAAGGCAAGGACCCGAATTTGGTAAGTAGAAGGGTGGTTACAACTCATTGGCTGTGTCTACATCAGAGGTCCCCAACCTTTTGGGCACCAGGGACCGGTTCCATGGAGAAAGGTTTTCCACGGACCGGAGACCACGTGGTTTTGTGTGCTGCTTGCATCCCACAGATGGGGCTTTGCTTGTTTGTGCGGACCGGTTGCTGGCATGCTGCGGCCTGGTACCGGTCCACGGACCGGGGGTTGGGGACCCCTGGTCTACACGACTCCCCCCTCCTCCTTGAATGGATAGCTGATTTACCCTTTAGCAATAGCACTTAGACTTATATACCGCTTCACAGTGCTTTACAGCTCCCCCCTAAGTGGTTTATAGAGTCAGCCTCAACAATCTGGATCCTCATTTTACCGTCCTCGGAAGGATGTGTCATGGAAAAACCCAATGGAAAAGACAAGACAGCAACACAAAACAATAATTCTCACTTTAAGATTCAGAGGTTTATTTTTCTAATACTTTGGAACATAGCGTGCATAATAACACAACGTCACTTACATTAATAACCCATTGCATTGGGGACCACATGGCATAGCAGATTCCAAAGGACAGCTATAGGCCAGTGGCAAATCAATCAGGTCCAGTCCCAACCCTTTATACCAGACATGTCAAACACAAGGCCCCGGGGGCCAGATGCGCCCCGCGAAGTGGTTTCATGTGGCCTGCGAAGCCATCCTGGAAACAGTGAGGGAACGGCCCCCACTGCCTTGGCCCTGGCCCAGGCCAGCCGGGAGCCAATGTACAATTTTGTGGTGGCCATATCTATGCTGAAACGCATTCAGTCTTAGCTCCACAAGGCCGTCCAGAAACAGCAAGGAACCAGCCCCTGTTGTGTTGGCCCCGCCCTCTGGGTGCATGCTGGGGAGGGGTCACCCTTTGTGAGGAATGAAGAAATGGACCATGCCTTGGCGCTTGCCCCGGTCCCCCCCCCTTCTGCCAGAGACCTTCAGAGAGGGATAGAATCAAGATCACGTGAAGTATTAATACCACTTTACAACGCCTTGGTAAGGCCACACTTGGAATACTGCATCCAGTTTTGGTCACCACAATGTAAAAAAAATGCTGAGACTCTAGAAAGAGTGCAGAGAAGAGCAACAAAGATAATTAGGGGACTGGAGGCTAAAGCATATGAGGAACGGTTGCTGGAATTGGGTATGTCTAGTTTAATGAAGAGAAGGACGAGGGGGGACATGATAGCAGTCTTCCAGTATCTCAGGGGCTGCCCCAAAGAAGTCAAGCTATTCTCCAAAGTGCCTGAAGGCAGGACAAGAAGCAACGGATGGAAACTCATCAAGGAGAGAAGCAACCTGGAACTAAGGAGAAACTTCCTGACAGTTAGAACAATTAACCAGTGGAACTACCTGCCTCCAGAAGGGGTGAATGCTCCAACACTGGAAGTCTTTAAGAAGAGACTGGACAGCCATTTGTCTGAAATGGTGTAGGATTCCTGCCTGAGCAGGGGGTTGGACTCGATGACCTCCATGGTCCCTTCCAACTTTATTATTATTATTATTATTATTATTATTATTATTATTATTATTATTATTATTATTATTATTATTATTATTATTATTACTAGTCCCAATCCTACCCAGGCCCCCAAAGGCACCCTTGATGCGAACGATGTAGAGCTGGCCATGCCCACCCAGTAGGCCACAACCACTCCATCCACGCCCACCCAGTAGGTCGCACCCACCCTGGCCACACCCACCCACCCCTCCCCAAGGGCAATTGCAATGCTGATGCGGCCCTCAATGAAATTGAGTTTGGCACCCCTGCTTTATACCCTGTCTCGCTCTAAAACTGTAGTCAGATGGTCTGCTGACTTCTGTTGAACATAACTTTCCACATATACCCGTGTACATTGGAACCCGCATCCATCAGCTACTTTCAGTTCCTCTTTTCCCACGATTACAACACTCACGTTCCAAATATACACAGGACTACCTGCTTTGCTATTTCATGTTGCACAAAGCTCAGTGGATTAAAATATAGTACGTCCTTATTGAGAAACAGCATAAAGTTCAAGTTAAAGCTTCAAATCACTTCTGGGGGGGGGGGCTATTTCAGGTTTGTTCCAGCCCTATCTTATTGTATGAGCTCATATTTTCATCTCCCACAGATGGAAGGCTGAGTCAACCTTGAGCCGGTCAGGATCGAACTGCTGGCGGTGGGCAGAGTCAGGCTGCAATACTGCATTCTAACCACTGCGCCCCCACGGCTCCTATTTTTCCCCCCTTACTTTTTCTTATACAAGTAGTCCTCGACGTATGACCCCAATTGAGCGCAAACTTTCTGTTGCTAAGCGAAACCTGTGTCAAGTGATTTTTGCCTCCATTTTATGACTTTTCTTGGCACCGTTCTTAAGTGGATCCCTGCAGTTGTTAAGTTAGTAAGAGAGTTCTTAAATGAACCTGGCTTCCCAATTGACTTTGCTTGTCAGACGGTCGCAAAAGGGGATCACGTGACTCCGGGGCTCTGCAACCGTTATAAATGTGAGTCGGTTGCACAAGCGTCTGACTTTTGATCGTGTGACCGTGGGGATGGCTGCAATGGTTGTCGGTGTGAAAAATGGTCATAACTCACTCTTTTCAATGCTGTTGTAACTTTGGTCACTAAATGAACCGTTGTAAGTCAAGGACTGCCTTTAAATCAAGTGCATCCGGGGTTGCAAATGCGGCCCCACCCATTATGCTATTTTAGGAAAATAAATTTTAAAATCCTTCTTAAGCATAATTGACTGATTCACTGATTGACTGACGGACTGATTTGGCTCCAAGAATCCAGAGAGTTTATATGAAAAATACAAAATGTAGGTAGTCCTTGACTTAGATCTATTCATTTAACAACAACAACAACAACAATAATGTTGGAAGGGACCTTGGAGGTCTTCTAGTCCAACCCCCTGCTCAGGCAGGAAACCCTATACCATTTCAGACAAATGGCTGTCCAGTCTCTTCTTTAAAATCTTCAGTTTTGGAGCATTCACCGCTTCTGGAGGCAGGTTGTTCCACTGGTTAATTGTTCTAATTGTCAGGAAGTTTCTCCTTAGTTCTAGGTTGCTTCTCTCTTTGGTTAGTTTCCATCTGTTGCTTCTTGTCCTGCCTTCAAGTGCTTTGGAGAATAGCTTGACTCCCTCTTCTTTGGGGCAGCCCCTGAGATACTGGAACACAGCTATCATGTCACGCCCTCGTCCTTCTCTTCATTAAACTAGACAGACCCAATTCCAGCAACCGTTCCTTATATGTTTAGTGACCGTTCAAAGTTACAGTGGCACTGAAAAAAATAACTTGTGACTCATTATGACAGTTGCAGCATCCCCAGCATCACATGATCAAAATTCAGATGCTTGACAACTGGCATGTACTTACGATGTTTGCACTCTCCCCAAGTTACGTGATCACCATTTGTCACCTTCCCAGCTGGCTTCCAACAAGCAGTCAATGGCAGAAGCCAGATCCACTTAACGACCGCAGGATTCCCTTAATCCCTGCAGCGATTTGCTCAACAACTTTGGCAAAAAAAGGCCGTAAAATGGGGGGGAAACTCACTTAACAACGGCCTTGCTTAGCAACGGGAGATTTGGGCTCGGTTGTGGTCATAAGTCAAGGACCACCTGCACCAGAAGGAAAAAGATCTAAGAAGCAAACCACGCTTTGGAGAAATACATCCAGAAACCTCCATCCACACAACTCCCTGGGACTGGGTGAATAAACCAGAGGACTTTGAAGGACCGCATTCTCGGCCTCGTCAAAAATCCAAACCCAGAAACTGGGGGGGGGGGGGGNCGGGGGGGGGGGGGGGAAAAGTGAATATTGCAGAGGAATGAAAAGGGACAGCTGGCAAGACGGGGGGGACCCCCGACAGACGGACAAACAGACAGAACATCTGGGCTGGGAAGATGCTTTTGCAATTCCGTGGCGCTGGTGACACCGGTTGCTAGGCTTCATCTCTGCCTGTTTTCCCTTTTTTCCCCCCTCCCCTCCCCCCCTTCCCCGTTTCCCCCCTTTGGCTGCGCTGGGCTTTCCGTGCCCCCTCCTCAAAAAACTGGGTAGCTCCGTTAATTAGCAGCCCACCAAGGGCTTTGAATTCCAGGGAGGATGTTAATGTATAATTAATTGCTATTAGGGCAGGCGTGCAGAAGGGAGGGGAGGGGGAAGGGGAAGGGGGGGCTGGCCGAGAAACCTGTGTGTTATTATTGTGTGTGTATATGTGTGTGTGAGAGAGAGAGAGAGAAAGAGGGAGGAATGGAGGGATGGATTAGCAGACCATCTGGGCTGGCTTGGGGAGTGGAAGGGGAAAAAAACCTGGAGAAATTGCAGAAGTGGGGATCAATTTTGCAACCCTGTTCCTTTCTCCCCCCCCCCCTTTTTATTTTTATTTTTTTATTTTGCAGCCTGGGAGAACCCCCCCTCTCCTTTCCTGGATTGCTTATTTCCCTCTCTTTCTTGATGGATACAAACAGGGGTCAAATCCGCACTCAAGGCCGCATCCCCACTGTGCAGATTTGATCGATGGCTGCTGTAGAACTTGAGGTGGTGGGGAAATAGGGCGGTGTTGATTGGGCTGTTTAACCCATCAGCCCCAGCCAAGAGAAGGAGGCAAAGCTGGGACTGGGGATACCTTTCCCCTGAATCCAGAACCAGCCCTACTGTGTGGGACCGATAGATTGGGGTTCAATAGAAGCCAAAGGAAAGTAGACTCCGGGTGTTTCTTCTTTTCAAGACATGTTCCCCCCAAATCTGGTACTCTGTGGACTTCAGCTCCCAGAATTCCCAGCCTGGTTTTAAGATCCTAATCTATCCAGAGAGCACAATGTTGCAGCAGCTGGCAGGACGGCTGTAAAAATCGGGGTTCAGCTAGCTAGTTCCCCAGCCAGCATCCATGGACTTCAACTCCCAGAATTCCTCAGCCAGCATTTGTGGATTTCAACTCTCAGCATTCTTTAGCCAGCATTTGTGGATTTCAACTCTCAGTATTTCTTAGCCAGCATTTGTAGACTTCAACTCCCAGAATTCCTGAGCCAGTATTTGTGGACTTCAGCTCCCAGAATTCCTGAGCCAGTATTTGTGGACTTCAACTCCCAGAATTCCTCAGCCAGTATTTGTGGACTTCAACTCCTAGAATTCCTCAGCCAGTATTTGTAGACTTCAACTCCCAGAATTCCTCAGCCAGTATTTGTAGACTTCAACTCCCAGAATTCCTCAGCCAGTATTTGTGGACTTCAACTCCTAGAATTCCTCAGCCAGTATTTGTAGACTTCAACTCCCAGAATTCCTCAGCCAGTATTTGTGGACTTCAACTCCCAGAATTCCTCAGCCAGTATTTGTGGACTTCAACTCCTAGAATTCCTCAGCCAGTATTTGTGGACTTCAACTCCCAGAATTCCTCAGCCAGGATTTGTGGACTTCAGCTTCCAGAATTCTCCAGTCAACATGTGTGGACTTCAACTCCCAGAATTCCCCAGCCAGCATTGCGGAAAATTGAAATCCACACTTCAACAACTTGCCAAGTTTGGAAAACATGCTTGCTGAGGAATTCTGGGAGTTGAAGTCCACATGTTGACTGGGGAATTCTGGGAGCTGAAGTTCACAAATGCTGGCTGAGGAATTCTGGGAGTTCAAGTCCACAAATGCTGGCTGGGGAATTCTGGGAGTCAAAATCCCCACATCCTGTTTTCAGAAGTGACCAATGAGATAATTCAATCAGGATATAAAGGTAAGGTATTCCTCCCCAATCTGTCCCATTCAGGTAGACTACCATAGGTCCTGGAGGTAAATCGATAAAACTTTTACCGCGCTGCTGTACTTAAATCAATCTTTTGTTTCCAGAACGAAACCAATCCAGCTTCTTCCAAATCAACCAGTTTGTCTCCAGTCTCTGAAATACTCACTCCCCGAGCCGGCCCGAGTTACGTGCCTCAGATTGCAAAGCCGTCCACCAGCGATGTTATCAGTAAGTCATTGACTGGGTTTCTTGGTTCCTGCTTCTACTTATTTCTGCCAATTTCTATATTGTTTGCCATGATGATGATGATGATGATAATAATAATAGTAATAATAATAATAATAATAATAATAATAATAATAATAATAATAATAATAATAATAATAATAATAATAATAATAATGTTGGAAGGGACCTTGGAGGTCATCTAGTCCAACCCCCTGCTCAGGCAGGAAACCCTATACCATTTCAGACAAATGGCTGTCCAGTCTCTTCTTTAAAACTTCCAGTGTTGGAGCATTCACCGCTTCTGGAGGCAGGCTGTTCCACTGGTTAATTGTTCTAATTATCAGGAAATTTCTCCTTAGTTCCAGGTTGTTTTTCTCCTTGATTAGTTTCCATCCGTTGCTTCTTGTCCAGGTGCTTTGGAGAATAGCTTGACTCCCTCTTCTTTGGGGCAGCCCCTGAGATACTGGAACGCTGCTATCATGTCCCCCCTCGTCCTTCTCTTCATTAAACTAGACATACCCAATTCCAGCAACCGTTCCTTATATGTTTTAGCCTCCAGTCCCCTGATCATCTTTGTTGCTCTTCTCTGCCCTCTTTCTAGAGTCTCAGCATCTTTTTCACATCTAACTGACCAAAACTGGATGCAGCATTCCAAGTGTGGCCTTACCAAGGTGTTATAAAGTGATATTAACACTTCACGTGATCTTGATTCTATCCCTCTGTTCATGCAGCCTAGCACTGTGTTGGCCTTTTTGGCAGCTGCAGCACACGGCTGGCTCATATTTAAATGATTGTCCACTAGGACTCCGAGGTCCCTCTCAGTTACTACTAAATAATCTAAACAATCATCTAAACAATGTTGGCATTTGCAGTACCCTGAGCTGGGCAGTGCCATCCTCCCTAGTGCCCACTTTCCCAAAATGCTTCCAGCTTCCAGCCACTGGCAGTGGGGTCCTTAATGTGAGAAAATGCAACTTTTTTTGACTTCTGCAGAACAATTGGCACACTCAGAAGTTGCTTAAATGTCCAGGTAGTCCTTGACTTACAACAGTTCGTTTAGTGACCATTCAAAGTTAAAACGGCACTGAAAAAGTGACCTAGGATCGTTTTTCACACTTACGACCGTTACAGCATCCCCATGGTCATGTGTTCGAAATCCAGACAGTTGGCAACTGGCTTATATTTATGACGGTCGCAGTGTCCCTGGGGTCACGTGATCCCCTTTTGCGACCTTCCGACGAGCAAAGTCAAGGGGAGAAGCAGGTTCACTTTATAACCCCGTTGCCAACTTAATAGCAGAAGTGATTCATTTAATAACTGTGGTAAGAAAGGTTGTAAAATGGGTCAAAACTCACTTAACAAATTGTCTCGCTTAGCAACAGAGTTGTTGAGCTCAGTCGTGATTGTAAGTCAGGGGTCTTCAAACTTGGCCCTTTTATGACTGGTGGACTTCAACTCCTAGAATTCCTCAGCCAGGTATGCTGGCTGAGGAATTCTGGGAGCTGAAGTCCACCAGTCATAAAAGGGCCAAGTTTGAAGACCCCTGGTCTGCATCCAAGCTCGCAGTTTCATCAAAATGGCCGACTGAGGAATTCTGGGAGTTGAAGTCCACCAGACATAAAAGGGCCCAGTTTGAAGACCCCTGGTCTGGATCCAAGCTCGCAGTTTCATCAAAATGGCCGACTGAGGAATTCTGGGAGTTGAAGTCCACCAGTCATAAAAGGGCCCAGTTTGAAGACCCCTGTTGTAAGTCAAGGACTACCTGTAATCTGTTTGGCTGAAAAAAACAAACCTCTTTTTTTGTCTCTCTCTCTCAAATAAGCCTTGAGGAGTCCGCTAAATTCTTTCACCAGCAGTTTTGCTTCACCTTTCGGGGTGATGCCTCACGCCGGCCTCAATGGCGAATTAGCTGCACCGAGTTCCTACGTCGGCATCCATCTTTCTGCAGGCCCCGGAGGATACGGACGGTCTCCGCTGGTGAGCTTTGGGGCAGCCTTTCAAATCTGGGGGTGGGGGGAGGCGTTTAAAAGGGAGCAAATTGAAATGAAGCTCAGTTGGGTCAAACTTTCTGACCATCAATCAGTCTGTCAGAAGAAGGTGTCTCAGAATAATGTACTAAACTAGCAGCGTTTCTCAACCTTAGAAACTTTAAGGCAGGGGTCTTCAAACTTGGCCCTTTTATGACTTGTCGACTTCAACTCCCAGAATTCCTCAGCCAGGCACACTGGCTGAGGAATTCTGGGAGTTGAAGTCCACCAGTCATAAAAGGGCCACGTCTGAAGACCCCTGCTTTAAGGTGTATGGTCCAACTCCCAGAATTCCCCAGCCAGCATGGGGAGTACTTGATGATTTTTACTGGCCCCTTCAACATGAGGAGGGATGGACTTGATGATCTTTACTGTTGCCTTCAAGTTTACAATTCCGAGGCAGGAATGTAGCAGGTGTCTCAGAATAATGACTAGCAGTGCTGACTGGGGAATTCTGGGAATTGAAGTCCACCAGTGTTAAAGTTGCCATGGCCCTTCAGCATGAGGAGGAATGGACTTGATGATCTTTATTGTTTCCTTCAACTTTACCACCCAGAGGCAAGGAGGTAGCAGGTGTCTCAGAATAATGGCTAACAGAGCGGGCTGGGGGATTCTGGGAATTGAAATCCACCCATCTTAAAGTGGCCCAAGTTTGAGAAACACTGAGATAAAACATCAAACCAAGGCCTTTGCTCCTTCTTTTAAGGAAGACGTGAGGCTCTAGTCCTCATGGTTTTGAATGTATTAATCCATTTGATCTATGTCTCTGTCTTTCTGCTTTGGCGAGTGTTCAAATTGGCTGAGGGGATGAATTAAGGAAGAATAAGGGACATTGTATTGTGCAGCTTGGTTCTTTGTCAATGTATGCAATTTTGTACTTTTCCATACATAGTCTATAGCAGTGGTGGCGAACCTATGGCACGGGTGCCAGAGGCGGCACTCAGAGCCCTCTCTGTGGGCACGTGCGCCGTTGCCCCAGTCCTAGGCCTTCAGCTGGGTTTTATAAAACCTTTTCGCTTTAGGCCTCCGCTACCATGTGCAAAAAAAAAAGTTCAATCAATCAGTCAATTTCAACTTCTCGCGGGGAAAAAAAGATCTTGCAAAGTTGGAATTGATTGATTGAACTTTTTAGTCCCACCCAGTCTGCTGTTACCACCCAGCCACACCCACCCAATAGGCCACACCCACCCGGCATCCGACGATGCATAAGTGGGTTTTGGGTTGCAGTTTGGGCACTCCATCTCTAAAAGGTTCGTCATCACTGGTCTATAGACTAGCCATTTCTATAACATCGAAACTGAATGTCAACGCTGCTACCATTGGATGTTTTTGCATTGACAACAGATGGAAATGTAGCCATTTTTTCCCTTTCGCTTTTAGAGTTAGATGATGCTGGGAGGGGGGATGTGGATGAGAGTCTAGCTAGACATAACAACACTAAACTCAGTGGGAGAATCAAGGTTGTTGTAACCAGAGCTGATAATGAATTGGCCGGGCTGGAGAACTGGAGAGGAAGCCCAGTGCTTCAAGCTAATTGGGGAATGTGATTTATGACTGTCAATTGGAGGAGGGAATTGTGCTTTGATACTAGGTGCCCAGGGGAGGGGAATTCAGTTTTTGGCTTCAGTTATGTAAGTGCCGATATTATGCTACTCGAATAAAAGATCCTTTACGGTAAACAATGCCTCGAAGTTCTTGTGAAGAATTTCATCTGTCGGAACCATGACACTGAGCGTTAAACTGGAAAGCTTCCAAAGATACAACACATTTTCATCACGAGTGAAATTGATCCCTGATTTCTTCCTTGGTTTCCACAGGTGGCTTTTGAATCTCACCCACACTTGCGGGGATCCCCTCTCTCGGCCTCCCTCCCTGCAGTCTCAAGCAGCAAGCCGTAAGTTGGGTTTCCTGGTTGGGAGAACAAGAAATTGTGATTTTTTCTCAGTGGATTGCAAGCACGGGCAGTGTTTTATGTATTTTATGTATTTATTTATTTATTTCTATGCCGTCCATCTTGTCCAGAGGCGACTCTAGAAGATTTACAAGCGATAGAAACAAAAAGATAAAAGACACGAAAAGATTAAAATAATAACTTAACATTGGTTGACTTTTGGGGGTTTAGGATAGCGATCTCCAAAGTCTTTTATCAGTAAAACAAAACAAAACAAAACATTATAAGTACAGGTATGACTTAAGCGACATAAATTCTGGACTCAATTGCGGTCGTATGTTGAGGACTAGCAGTAACAGCCGTTAATTCTCTGCTCCTCCTAGGGCAGTGGTGGCAAACCTATGGCACGCGTGCCAGAGGTGGCACTCAGAGCCCTCTCTGTGGGCACTTCTCTGAGCTTCTGGTGGCGGGCTGCGGAGCCCCAGAGTGCGCCGGTTGAGGGGCCAGCAGGCTGTGGCTGCTGACGGACACTGTCGGCCCCCATACGCTTGCTGGCCTCTGTGTGCAGAGGCCGATGGTGTCAGGCAGCAGCTGCCCTGGCCCCTGCCTCACCTTGCCCTGCGACAATGGCACCTCCACCCTGCCTCACCTCACCCCGCAGGACGAGCCTCCTGCCCACCACCCCACCTGCCAGAGACCCCCTGGATCTCCCCCAACCCTGCCTGGCCCCCACGACCAACATCGAGGTGACCACGCCCACCTTGGCCACACCCACCGTCTGCCATGACCACCATAGCCACGCCCACCCACTGGGCCCCGCCCACCTGGCACCTGGCAATAAATAAGTGGGTTTTGGGTTGCAGTTTGGGCACTCGGGCTCTAAAAGGTTCGCCATCACTGTCCTAGGGCCTACTCCTTCCACGTAAGCGCGGACGGGCAGATGCAGCCGGTGCCCTTCCCGCCCGACGCCCTGATCGGCTCCGGGATCCCGCGCCACGCCCGCCAGCTGCACACGCTCTCCCACGGCGAGGTGGTCTGCGCCGTCACCATCAGCCACTCCACCCAGCACGTCTACACAGGGGGCAAAGGCTGCGTCAAGGTCTGGGACGTGGGGCAGCCGGGCACCAAGACCCCCGTGGCGCAGCTGGACTGCCTGGTACGTAGAAGGAAGACCTTTTTTAGGATGGTCTGAAAAACAATCTCTGTTGTTATTGTTGTACCTTTTTTGGGGGGGGGGGAGGGCACATTTCAGTGGATTTGATTTGAGGTTTTGCTATCGTTCATGCTAAGTTGTGGATCGAAAATGGGCTCCTCTTAATTAGCTTCTTTGATTTTTCAGGATCCAGGTTTTGGGTACCAAGTAGCAGCTGCACTCACACAACACGTAACAGAATAACAGAGCTGGAAGGGACCTTGGAGGTCATCTAGTCCAACCCCCTGCTCAAGCAGGAAACCCTATGCCATTTCAGACAAATGGCTGTCCAGTCTCTTCTTAAAAATTTCCAGTGTTGGAGCATTCACCGCTTCTGGAGGCAGGTGGTTCCACTGGTAAATTGTCCTCACTGTCAGGAAATTCCTTCTTAGTTCCAGTTGCTTCTCTCCTTGATTAGTTTCCATCCGTTGCTTCTTGTCCTGCCTTCAGGCGCTTTGGAGAATAGCTTGACCCCCTTCTTCTTCGTGGCAGCCCTTCAAATATTGGAACACTGCTATCATGTCTCCTCCAGTCTTTCTTTTCATTAAACTAGACATACCCAATTCCTGCAACCGTTCTTCATATGTTTTAGTCTCCCCTAATTTATCTGTTTAAACCAGGGGTCTTCAAACTGGGCCCTTTTATGACTTGTGGACTTCAACTCCCAGCCAGCGTTGCTGGCTGAGGAATTCTGGGAGTTGAAGTCCACAAGTCATAAAAGGGCCCAGTTTGAAGACCCCTGGTTTAAATCAACCAATTTCCTGCTGGATCTTTCAATGTGCTGGATGAATGTCGTCCATAGAGGGCTAAAATAGTCTCACCAAATACAGATAGTCCTCAGCTTACAACCATTCATTTAGTGACCATTGGATGTTATGACAGCACTGGAAAAAAAGTGACTTGATACCAGTCCTCGCACTTATGACCGTCACAGCATCCTCATAGTCATGTGATCCTAATTTGGGTGCTTGGCAACCGGCACGTATTTCGGATGGTTGCATACTCCCAGGGTCATGTGATCAATCATCATTTGTGGCTTTACCAGTCGGTTTCTGACAAGCAAAGTCAATGGGATGGGGGAGCTGGATTCAGTTAATGACCAAATTTTTATCTCATGACCGCAGGACGGCTGCAGTGGCCAAATCTGCCAGGACTGGTGGTAAGTCATTTTTTCAGTGCTGTCATAACTTCGAACAGTTGCTAGAGAAATGGTCGTAAGTTTAGACAGGGGTCGGCAACCTTGGCTCTTTTATGACTTGTGGACTTCAACTCCCAGAATTCCTGAGCCAGCCATGCTGAGGGGACAGGGAGAGGTTTCCATGCTGGCTCAGGAATTCTGGGAGTTGACGTCCACGAGTCATAAAAGAGCCAAGGTTGCCTACCCCTATCCTAGGATGAAGATTAAGAACAGGGGTCTTCAAACTTGGCCCTTTTATGACTCGTGGACTTCAACTCCCAGAATTCCTGAGCCAGCCATAAAAGAGCCAAAGTTGCCTACCCCTGGTCTAGGACTACCTCTTTGCTACCAGGGCCGAATGTGCATTGAAGATGCGGTGAAAGATGCGGTGAAAGATTTCCTGACAGTGAGAACAACTAATCGGTGGAACGATTTGCCTCCAGAGGTTGTGGGTGTTCCATCCCTGGATCTTTTTAAGAAGAATTTGGAGAGCCATTTCTCCAGAGTGGTATAGAATTGTTTCTCAACCTTGATGGCTTGAAGATAGGCGGACTTCAACTCCCAGAATTCCTCAGCCAACCCATGGGGGGGGGGTCCCTTGCTGAAGGGGACTAGAACAGGGACTAGAACGGGACTAGAACAGGGGTACTAGAACTGAAGGGGACTAGAACAGGGGTAGGCAACCTTGGCTCTTTTATGACTCATGGACTTCAACTCCCAGAATTCCTGAGCCAGCATGGCTCAGCATGGAAACCTCTCCATTTCTCCTCAGCGTGGCTGGCTCAGGAATTCTGGGAGTTGAAGTCCACCAGTCATAAAAGGGCCAAGGTTGCCTACCCCTGGACTAGAAGACCTCCAAGGTCTTTTCCAACTCTCTTATTCGGTAAAATCAGCTTCCTCCAGTACTTTCCATTCAAAAAAGGTCGGCAAGTTTCTAGTCCATAGGACTGTAAAGATATTTTCGAACCACCTTCTTATAATTTGAGAGATGCCAGGGGGTAGGATGGGGGGGAAACTAGGCTATGAGGTTTAGGTAACTTTCTGCCTTTCTCCCTCCAGAACCGAGATAATTACATCCGTTCGTGCAAACTTCTTCCCGACAGTCGCAGTCTCATCGTTGGGGGTGAGGCCAGCACCTTGTCCATCTGGGATTTGGCAGCCCCCACGCCCCGGATCAAGGCCGAGCTGACCTCCTCTGCCCCAGCCTGCTACGCCCTGGCCATCAGCCCCGACGCCAAAGTCTGCTTCTCCTGCTGCAGCGACGGCAACATTGTGGTCTGGGATCTGCAGAACCAAACCATGGTTAGGTGAGATCGACGATGTCTAGTCTGGTATTTCCCAAGATTGTTTTAGAACAGGGCTTTTCAACCTTTTTACCCATTGTACCACTTTTAGGATATGGCAATATCCGAGTACCACCAGTCACCTAGCAAGGTGTCAAAAAGGAAAAAAGTGATGAAGTATAGATAGTCCTCGACTTACAACAGTTCGCTTAGTGACTGTTCAAAGTTACAATGGCACTGAAAAAAGTGCCCCCCAAGCCACAGCCGAGCAAGACACCTACCTGCCTGCCCGCCCGGCGGCGCTCTTCCTCCTGTTCGAGGTTTTCATTGTTGTGAGCATTTCTGTTGAGGATTGGCAGCGGGGGTGGGGTGGGGGGGTGTTTGGTTTTTATTCCCCCTGTCTGCTGGGTGGTTGCAGCAGGTTTTGGTCACTTCAACTGACCCTGGGACACTGTGACCGTCATAAATATGAATCAGTTGCCAAGCATCTGAATGTAAATCACAAGACCCTGGAGATGCTGCAACATTCCAGCTGATTGGTGCTTCTTCTGGGCTCAGCAGAAGCACCAGGATCAGCGCCGAGCTCCAGCTGGAGCCTGGCGCTGATCCTAGCGCTTCCACTGAGCCCTGACAGCCCTGCAGCTCCAGCCGTCTCTCGCTCAGGCTTGTGCGGTGCTGCGACCGGTTCAGCTCATTCCCCTCCCTCGCTACCACTTTTCTAGGATGGTCGCGTACCACCTGCCAGGTGCCAATGTACCACAGGTGGTACCCGTACCACTGGTTGAAAAGCCCTGTTTTAGAAGATCAGTGGTAGATGCTAGGCAATTAAATCCCCAAAGGTAAAACTTTATTGGATACACCATCACGGAACTGAAGAAGCAAAACCAGCTCTGGGTTTCCTGTGCAAAAGCGAGGGAACAATAGATTCCCTTACTCCCATCCACCGGGTGTTCACATTGTCCAATAGAATAGAATAGAGCTGGAAGGGACCTTGGAGGTCTTCTAGTCCAGCCCCCCCCCCCCGCTCAAGCAGGAGAACCTATACCAGAATTGAACACTGGGTGCTATCTAACAAAATGAAATTCAGTGGTGAAAAAAGTAAGGTTCTATATTTAGGCAAGAAAAACCAAATGTACAGGTATAGTATAGGGGGTACCTTGCTCAATAGTAGTAACTGTGAGAGGGACCTCGGAGTCCTAGTGGACAATCATTTGAATATGAGCCAGCCGTGTGCTGCAGCTGCCAAAAAAGCCAACACAGTGCTAGGCTGCATTAACAGAGGGATAGAATCAAGATCACGTAAAGTGTTAATACCACTTTACAATGCCTTGGTAAGGCCACACTTGGAATACTGCATCCAGTTTTGGTCACCACGATGTAAAAAAGACGTTGAGACTCTAGAAAGAGTACAGAGAAGAGCAACAAAGATGATCAGGGGACTGGAGGCTAAAACATATGAGGAAGGGTTGCTGGAATTGGGCATGTCTAGTTTAACGAAGAGAAGGACGAGGGGGGACAGGATAGCAGTGTTCCAATATCTCAGGGGCTGCCCCAAAGAAGAGGGAGTCAAGCTATTCTCCAAGGCGCCTGAGGCAAGCTGTTCCACTGGTTAATTGTCCCCACTGTCAGGAAGTTTCTCTTTAATTCCAGGTTGCTTCTCTCTTTGGTCAGTTTCCAACCATTGTTTCTTGTCCTGCCCTCTGGTGCTTTGGAGAATAACGTGACCCCCTCTTTTTTGTGGCAGCCCCTCAAATACTGGAATACTATCACCATGTCTCCCCTATTTCTTCTTTTCTTTAGACTAGCCAAACCTAAGTCCTGCAGCCGTTCTTTGTATATTTTAGTCTCCAGCCCTTTGATCATCTTAGTTGCTCTTCTGTGGACTTTTTCCCAACGACTCAACATCTTTTTTGTAGTAGGGTGACCGAAATTGGTTGCAGTCTTCTTTTTGTTATGGGAACAGTCCACTTCTCCATTGAGCACCTGTGTAAGTGACCTTGGCATTCTTTCAGGCTCTCATGGTCTGCTTGGAATTCCGTTTCCTCCCTTTGCTTTCTACCCTTCCTCCCTTTTCTATGGCAAGTTGATTAGCATTAGAAGCTAGCAGTCCTCATAGCAGTTCAATCTTGACAGAATAGTTGTGAAACACTGAGGATGGAACTCTGACAACCTTACCGGGAAGCCCTCGACTTACGACCATTCGTTTAATGACCGTTCAAACTTATGACACTGAAAAAAAATGACCCGTGGACCGTTTTTACACTTACAACCATTTCAGCATCCCCCTTGGTCATGTGATCAAAATTCAGATGCTTGGCAACTGACGTGTACTTACGATGGTTGCACTGTCCCTAGGTCATGTGATCTGTGACCTTCCGAGCCAGCTTCTGACAGGCAAAGTGTCAAACCTTCAAATGCTCTGAGATCAGCCAGGTTTCTTTGCTTTTCAGTTGCCACGGCAACGGGAGGGGGGGGAAGATGCATTCTTTTTGTTTAGTCAAAACAATAACTTTCCTGTGGGAACCAAGGTCAAGCAGCTTTAATGTTTGGCGGGCTGGAGTTAATTGGGGATTGTGATTTATGACACATACAGGGGTGGGGAGTTCAACTTTTACTTTGTAAGCTTTTTTGAGGGGGAACTATAAAATAATAATAATAATAATAATAATAATAATAATAATAATAATAATAATAATAATAATAATAATAATAATAATAATAATAATAAAGTTGGAAGGGACCTTGGAGGTCATCTAGTGCAACCCCCTGCTCAGGCAGGAAACCCTATACCATTTCAGACAAATGGGGCTTTGGAGAATAGCTTGACTCCCTCTTCTTTGGGGCAACCCCTTTCAGTCTTGGTTTCACCTATGTTCATGCTGATATTACGTAGCCATTAAAATTGTTCTTTGAGGAAACAATTGCCTCAGAGTTCTTATTTCTACTGGTCCTATCTATCGGAACCGTGACACAAAGTTAATGGGGGATGCCCAGTTCCCCTTAACAACCACACGATTCATTTAACAACTGCAGTGATTCATTTAACAACTGCAGAACTCTCGCAAAAAAGGGTGTAAAATAGGGTAAAGCTCACTTAACGACTTCATTGCTAAGTAATGGACATCATGGGCTCCATTGTGGTCATAAGTTGAGGACTGCCTGTATTTAAATCCTTCTTCATTCCCGAAGCAGAAGAACTAAAATATTTCTTCAACTTTAATAAGAACCAAACGAAAGCTTTCGGTTGCATGTTGCATGCTGCTATTCTGTCAATTTTATTCTTCTGCTGATATTTATTCAAACCATACATTGTTTAAACCTGGTTTGTTCAGAAAAAACACACTGGCTAAGGTACTCCCAGCCCCCAAAACAAATACAGGTGGTCCTCGACTTATAACCATAACAGAGGCTGGAATTTCTGCCTTACATTGCGATGGTTGTAAAGTGAGGCGCCCACACATGTGACTTGATTTTAATGACCGTTGTTTTTTTTTGTGAGGTGATTGTGACTGAATAAAAATAAATAAGAAGCTGGGAGTTTTTTGCTAGCTTCTGTGTCCCCTTTGCAGGCAGTTCCAGGGTCACACGGACGGGGCGAGCTGCATCGATATCTCCAATTATGGCACCAAACTCTGGACCGGCGGTTTGGACAACACCGTCCGATGTTGGGACCTCCGCGAAGGCCGCCAGCTGCAGCAACACAACTTCAGCTCCCAGGTCAGCTAGGGAAGGGGTGGAGACTTTTGATGGACAGCCTATGAGCAGGTGGGGTCTCCAATAGCAACCAATCAACCCTGAGAAGGGGGTGGGATCTTGGCACACCAATATTGGACAAAGTGGTGATGATTACAGGTAGTCCTCATTTAGCGATCACAATGGGACCAGCAACTCTGTCACTAAGTGGAAAATCACATGACTTTAATGGGCTTTACATCTATTCTATTCTATTCTATTCTATATTCTATTCTATTCTATTCTCTGTACTATATTCTGTTCTGTTCTATTCTATTCTATTCTATTCTATTCTGTTCTGTTCTATATTCTATTCTATTCTATTCTGTTCTATATTCTATTCTATTCTATTCTCTGTTCTATATTCTATTCTATTCTATTCTATTCTATATTCTATTCTATTCTCTGTTCTGTATTCTATTCTATTCTATTCTATTCTATTCTATTCTATTCTATTCTATTCTATTCTATTCTATTCTCTGTTCTATATTCTATTCTATTCTATTCTATATTCTATATTCTATATTCTATATTCTATTCTATTCTATTCTATTCTATTCTATTCTCTGTTCTGTATTCTATTCTACTTTACTCTACTCTACTCATTCTGTGCCATTCCATGCCATCCTGGCCTTTTTAAGCTTTAATTTTCAACTGTCCTCATCTTTCTTTCTTTCTTTCTTCCTTCCTTTCTTCCTTCCTTTCTTCCTTCCCTCCCTCCCTCTTTTCTTTCTTTCTTTCTTTCTTTCTTTCTTTCTTTCTTTCTTTCTTTCTTTCTTTCTTTCTTTCTTTCTTTCTTTTCCTTCCCTTCCTTCCTTCCTTCCTTCCTTCCTTCCTTCTCACCCATCTCCCTCCTTTCTCTCCAGATCTTCTCCCTGGGCTACTGCCCCACGGGAGAGTGGCTGGCGGTCGGGATGGAGAGCAGCAACGTGGAAATCCTCCATGTGATGAAATCGGAGAAGTACCAGCTGCATCTTCACGAGAGCTGCGTCCTCTCCCTGAAGTTCGCTTCCTGTGGTAGGTTGCGTGGGTAAGAAAGAGGAGGCTGCTGTTGAAGGTCCAGGCATCCTTACTAACCCATCTGTCATCACCCTGGTTGCATTCGCACAACCCACTTAGCCAAGTCACAGTTCCACACCACAATAAAATGCAGGAAAGAAACAAAAAGATTTGAAGAAGGTGGTTTTTGAAGAAGAGATTGGACAGCCCTTTATCCGGAATGGTAGACTTGTGGACTTCAAGGGCTGGCTGAGGAATTCTGGGAGTTGAAGTCCATAAGGCTTAAAGTTGCCAAGTTTGAAGACCACTGGTATAGGGTTTCCTGCTTGAGCAAGGGGTTGGACTAGAAGACCTCCAAGGTCCCTTCCGACTCTGTTATTCTATTCTCTATAAGCTGGATGCTTTTAAATGTTGGAGTGGGGTGGGTGGTTATATTCATGACTTGATGTATTGGACAATTTCTCCACAAGGGTTAATTGAACTACCACATTCCATATGTTGTCTGAATGTGGCCTTCATGTGAGGAAAGGAAGATGGCTAATAATAATAATAATAAAGTTGAAAGGGACCTTGGAGGTCATCTAGTCCAACCCCCTGCTCAGGCAGGAAACCCTATACCATTTCTGACAAATGGCTGTCCAGTCTCTTCTTAAAGACTTCCAGTGTTGGAGCATTCACCACTTCTGGAGGCAGGTTGTTCCACTGGTTAATTGTTCTAACTGTCAGGAAATTTCTCCTTAGTTCCAGATTGCTTCTCTCCTTGATGAGTTTCCATCTGTTGCTTCTTGTCCTGCCTTCAGGGGCTTTGGAGAATAGCTTGACTCCCTCTTCTTTGGGGCAGCCCCTGAGATATTGGAAGACTGCTATCATGTCCCCCCTCGTCCTTATCTTCATTAGATATACCCAATTCCAATATCCAATTTCTAGATGACCTCCAAAATCCCTTCCAACAACAACTAATATTATTACTACTTCTTCTTCTTCTTCTTCTTCTTCTTCTTCTTCTTCTTCTTCTTCTTCTTCTTCTTCTTCTTCTTCTTCTTCTTCTTCTTCTTCTTCTTCTTCTTCTTCTTCTTCTTCTTCTTCTTCTTCTTCTTCTTCTTCTTCATCATCATCATCATCATCATCATCATCATCATCATTATTATTATTATTATTATTATTACCTTTTTCAGTGCCATTGTGACTTGGAATGGTCACTAAATGAGCACTCTTAAATGGCTCCTGGGACCTCAGAAGGGGCTCTCTCCCTTCCCATCTGTAATGTTCGGGCACACAGACCGGATCTCTTCTCTGTTTTTCCTCTCCTCTCTCACTACAGGCAAATGGTTTATCAGCACGGGCAAAGATAATCTGCTTAACGCGTGGCGGGCTCCCTACGGTGCCAGCATCTTTCAGGTAATGGAGACCGAGGCTTGCAAAGCTGTTGGTTGAATGCTTTCGCTCTCTGCAGAAAATGCAATGCAATCGGGGGATTTCTGGATGGGGAAGCAGACCGTACGATTCAGCTGGGATTGGTTTTAAGAGGACCCAGGTTGTAACGTGGCTCACTTCTTAGAGCTACCATAGAAGTTGGGACTTTTCCTTCAGCATAAATATTCGGGCGTAATTCTAGACAACTGCTCTTGCCCTAACCATGGGCATGATGTCAAATTTAATTTAATTTAAATTTAATTATTTTTTAATTTAATTTAATAATTTAATAATTTAAATAATTTAAATAAATTTAATAATTTAATTTTTTAATTTAAATAATTTATAATTTATCACACCTTTATTTTTATAAATAACTTGCTAATATATCTAACAATCCTCCCTTCTCCTATTGTCCCAACAGGCGTGTGAGGTGGGTTGGGCTGAGAGAGAGAGAGAGGGAGAGAGGGAGAGAGTCACTCGGGTGACTTTCATGTCTAAAGTGGGACTAGAACTCACTGCCTCCTGGTGATTGGTCCAAAGTCACCCAATCAGCTTTCATACCTAAGGCAGAACTAGAACTCACCGTTTCCTTGTGATTGGCCCAAAGTCACCCAGCTGGCTTTCATGCCTAAGGTGGGACTAGAATTCAACATCTCCTGGTGATTGGTCCAAAGTCACCCAATCAGCTTTCATACCTAAGCCAAAACTAGAACTCACTGTTTCCTTGTGATTAGCCCAAAGTCACCCAACTGGCTTTCATGTCTAAGGCAGGACTAGAACTCACTGCCTCCTGGTGATTGGCCCAAAGTCACCCAACCAGCTTTCATGTCTAAGGCAGGACTAGAACTCACCGTTTCCTAGTGATTGGTCCAAAGTCACCCAACTGGCTTTCCTGCCTAAGGCGGGACTAGAACTCACTGCCTCCTGGTGACTGGCCCAAAGTCACCCAGCTGGCTTTCTTGCCTAAGGTGGGACTAAACAGTTTCCCAGTTTCTAACCTGGTACCTTAACCACTAGGCAAAACTGCCTCTCTGTTGATAGAGCGCCAGTTGACCATCTACCACCTTAAATTCCACCCAATTAAAGTTGAATACGTAGGATAAGGACCATTACAAAAAATTTCAATTTCGGTCGAGTGTAGCAGTGAAAGAATTAAGGGCCTGGTAGCTAGCGGGGGGAAAAAGCTGTGTTACTTCCCTAAACATGGCTTTTTCTAGTTAATAGTTAATCCAGGGCTATTATTCAGTCCTTGTGGAGGCACCAAAGGTTGCCAAAAGGAGACACCAGTAATTGGCATTGCCAACCGAGACGTCTTGTGCAAATCTGACGAATTTCCCAAACGTGAATGTTGGCAGAATCCATCCGTTTCTTCCCTTCATTTCCTTGCTTTCTTTTGCAGTCCAAAGAAACGTCCTCCGTTCTAAGCTGTGACATCTCGGCTAATGACAAGTTTATCGTGACTGGATCGGGAGACAAGAAAGCCACAGTTTACGAACTGGTCTACTGAGGCACCACGTTCCTCACCTCGGATGGCTAAGGAGGCCCAAAGGCTTTCCGTTCTCCGGAAAAAATGTATTTTCCCCACTGGCTTCGGAGACTGTGGTGCTGAAACGACCTTGGTGCTTCCATCCCTCTTTGCAGATGCAGGACTAGAAACTTGAGAGCGGAGAGTGTCGGGAAGATATTTTTCTCCTCTCAAGAAGCAAGGGGTGCTTGTTTGGGTGTCTTTCAGGTCCCCAATGGACCAAAATCTTTTCATTATCCCCCTGAAGGGTCCGGAAAAATCACCTCAGAAGGGTGTGTTTGACAAGCTGAGCAGCCAATCCGCATCTGGCTAATCAGAGCCCCACCCACATTCTGGCCACCCGAATGCTAGTCCGTATTTTCATTTTTTTGGGTGCAAGCAAAAAAGCGGCTGCATTTACACCAGCGGTTCTCAACCTATGGGTCACGACCCCATTTGGGGTCGATCGGCCATTTCACGGGGATCACCAAGCAAGGCTGTCCGCCATTTTTTTTGTCCATTTTTTTCCCCCTTTTCCGGCGGGTGCCTTACCTCCCTTGGGCTGGGCCAGCTGGTGGTCGGCCTGCTCCGTCTCTGCCGCTTGCCAGCTACGCCTCGGCTGGCGCAGGGGGCGGAACCATGCATGCGCGGCGCTCCCGGGCAGGGAAAGTCCTCGACTTACGACCGGTTGGGTAGTCCTCGACTTATGACCGGTTTAGTCCTCGACTTACGGCCGGTTTAGTCCTCAACTTACGACCGGTTGGGGGTCGCGGCATTAAAAAGGTTGAGAACCACTGATTTACACCTTGCAGGTAGATCCACAGGTCATCCCTGACTTATGATCAGTTGCTTAGTGACTGTTCGAAGTTACGACGGACCCCCCCAAATGGGACTTATTTAAAGTTGCAACTTCTTGTTCACCTCTGTGGTCATGTGACCAACAGCTACTTATGACCTGGCCCTCATTTACAGACGTTTACTTCAACTTGTGACGTTTTTGCTGGAAAAGTATTTACTTTGTTTCTGGGGGGGGAAAAAAATCACCCCTTAGGATCCATTATGGTTGTAAATTGAGGATTATCTGTAGTTAGCCCACTTTTTTGCACATGGGCTGGATCCGGCACTGTCCTGTTTCAGCTGCTCTGCAGCTCCCTCTCTTTTTCCTGGAGGACTGAGTGGGCCAATCTAGACTCTTACTCTATGATTGCCTATTTTGGCTGATCCAGATTTGATTCATAAATACTTTTTGATACATTTTAGGGTTAAACCTGCCTGCTTTTTTTCCAAACACCCAACCAGGTTAGAAGGACCACACAAGAATTTCCACCATTGACCTGGTTAAGCACATCATGAGAATCTAGCCAACATTATTATTGGCCACTGATTCTCACAGCGAGAGCAGTAGCTCGGATGATGATGATTGCTGCTTTTCGGAAAACCACAGATGCATGCCTCTTAATGTTCTTTTTGCACTTTTGAACATAATGTACAAAAATTTGTTAGCTCAATCTGTTTATGGAAAGAACTTTCCAAACGTTAAGTGCGTAGATGGAAAAATAAAACATAAAAAATATGTAAAACCTGTAAAGCTTTTTTTTTTTAAAAAAACCAAACTTTTATGATGTATTAGAATAGTACCCAGCCTTGGCAACTTGAAGATGTGTGGACTTCAACTCCCAGAATTCCCTAGCCAGAATGCTAGTTGGGGGATTCTGGGAGTTGAAGTCCATTAACGCTGGTTGGGGAATCCCTCTCTCCTGAACCAGACAAAAGAAGTTGTACTGGAGCATGTGGGGAAAAGTCCAATCCCAGCAAATCAACAATTCTAATTGGAAGCCACTCCTGGACTATTTATGAGAAGCGGAGAGAAACAAAACTTTGATTTGGGGATTCGAGGATTAGAATGACATGGGTTTATGGAAGTAATGGAGACACTTGTTAATGTTAGAGTCAGATGTGTGTTTTTATCTATTATCTGTAAGAAAAACAAAGTCTGGAAGCCATTCCTTTTTTCCCCTCTCTGCCCTTTTATCTTGCCTTTGGTCCTTTTTTCTATTTTCTTTGTTGATTTTTCATGTTTTTCAAATTTATAGATAACAGATTAACAGTAATAGAGTGGAAGGGACTTTGGAAGTCTTCTAGTCCAAGATAGATGGATAGATGACAGATAGATAGATAGATAGATAGATAGATTGATAGGTAGCTATAGATAAATAGGTAGAGATGATAGAAGATATAGATAAGATATAGATGATATACAGTAGATAGATGATTGATAGATGATAGGTAGCTATAGAGATGATAGAAGATATAGATAGATAAGATATAGATGATAGATAGATAGATAAGGGGATAGATTGATGATAGGTAGCTATAAAGATAGGTGGAGATGATAGATATAGATGATAGAGATGATAGAGATAAATAATAGATAGATAGATATAGATAGGTAGATAAACATAGGTAGAGATGATAGAGAGATGATATAGATAGATGATAGATATAGATAGGTAGATAGATTAGATAGATAGATAGATCTAGATTAGATCGATAGATCGATATGCAGTAGACAGACAGACAGACAGACAGACAGAGAGAGAGATAGCTTATAGGTAGATGTAGGTAGATAGTGACTGGTCATAAATTGAGGACTACCTGTATGGTATACAGGATCTGTAAAGTTTTTAATTTTGGCTCTGTGTATTGTGGGCATCCAGTCGGGGCCTTTCAATAAATCTTTTAATTGGATTTTCCACAATTTAAGTCATAAACATTTGCAATCCGGCAAATTCCTTCCCTGAACATTTGTATCCTTCCACAACTTAAGAGAAACAGCTTTCTAAGTTTCCCACAACCCTCCAGGATCCACAACCGTGTTCCCAAGCACTAGAGGCATTAAAAAAAAGAGAGAGACTAAAATCTTGTCCCTATCGCTATTCCGTCTTACCTCCCTCTGTCCTCGACTTCCTGAAATGTTTCAGTTCTTCTGCACTCTGAACACGCTTAGAAAAACTAAGGTGTTTTTCAGAGTTGCACAAAGGCCAGGGGTAGGTCAATCAAGTCAAGATGGTGCCCGCCCCCCCCTCAGCGTGCGAGGGCAGCCCCACCCCTTTTTCACCCATGAAGGATTCTCGCAAAACGGAAGAGATCGAGATAGGTCAAGTAACCCAAACACCATCATCTCTTTATTGAAAGTTCGTTATTTCCTTTTTCTTTAAAAAAAGAAAAAAAAATTAGAATACACAACAAACTTTTCCAAGAAATTTCAATGTGAACACACACTTGCGCGCACTCACGCACGCACACACGCACACACCAAAGAGAGAGAGCCAACCCTTGTTCCCACCATGCCACGATAAGAACAACTCGGGAGAGACACCGCGAAGCTCCGCAAACGCATCGGGTTGCGTGGAAGACGGAGGGGGCTGCATTCGCACAACCCACACGGCGTCCTCGTTGTGGGTTCCGGGTTCCTGGTTCCGCTCCCGGACTTGTTCAGGGGATTTATTCTTTGGCTGGATAAAAACAAACAAACCCGAGAAGGGGCGCACAAAACAGCCGCCCCTTTCTCTTGCGGTCAGTTTGGAACAACGCCGGGACTCGGGTCAGTACATGACTTCGTAAACAGACGCCTTCTTGTCCCCGGATCCGGTGACGATGAATTGATCGTCTGTGGAAATATCGCAGCTAAGGACGGATGAGGTTTCTTTCGACTGCGGAGACAGGAAGAAGGGAAGGTTACGCAAAGGGAGACGGGTGTGGGTGTGTAGAACAGGTAGTCCTCGACTTACGACCGCAACAGAGCCCCAAATTTCCGTTTCTAAATGAGACAGTTAAGTTAGGGGACAGTTAGGGGACTGGAGGCTAAAGCATATAAGGAACAGTTGCTGGAATTGGGTATGTCTAGTTTAACGAAGAGAAGGACGAGGGGGGACATGATAGCCGTGTTCCAGTATCTCAGGGGCTGCCCCAAAGAAGAGGAAGCCAAGCTATTCTCCAAAGCCCCTGAAGGCAGGACAAGAAGCAACGGATGGAAACTAACCAAGGAGAGAAGCAACCTAGAATGAAGGAGAAACTTCCTGACAGTGAGAACAATAAATCAGTGGAACCACCTGCCTCCAGAAGCGGTGAATGCTCCAACACTGGAAGTTTTTAAGAAGAGACTGGACAGCCATTTGTCTGAAATGGTATAGTGTTTCCTGCATGAGCAGGGGGTTGGACTAGATGACCTCCAAGGTCCCTTCCAACTTTATTATTATTATTATTATTATTATTATTATTATTACTATTATTATTATTATTATTATTATTGAGTTTTGCTCAGTTTTACGACTTTTCCTGCCACAGTCGTTAAGTGAACCGCTGCATAAACCGCTGGTCATAAATTGAGGACGACCTGTATGGTGTACAGGGCCTGTCAAGCTTATTAACTTTGGCTCTGTGAATGGTGGGCATCCAGTCAGGGCCTACCGATACATCTTTTAATTGGATTTTCCGCAATTTAAGTTACAAACCTTTGCCATCCCGCAAACCCCTTACCCAAAAATCTGCATCCTTCCACAACTTAAGAGACACTAAGTTGTTAAGTTAGTAACACAATGGTGAAGCGAATCTGGTTTCCCCATTGACTTAAGCAGTCAGAAGGTGGCAAAAGGGGATCGCGTGACCTTGGACACTGCAACCATCATAAATTTGTCTGAAATGTTAAAGGGTTTCCTGCCTGAGCAGGGGGTTGGACTAGATGACCTCTTCTCGTCTCTTCTCTTCCTATTCTATTCTTATTCCTATTCTGTCCTATCCTATCCTATCCTATTCTAAATCCAGTTGATCATACGATGACCGGCTTTACAAGTGCCACGACTTACGACAGGCTCGTAAGTGGAAGACTTCCTGTATGCACTGAATTCCTCCCAAGAACTTCGGATGTCGTAATGTATCTACATAGTATATGTGCAGATCCATGTTGTTATTATTATTTTGCACCTTTTCCCGTTCTGCAATATCTTGTCTCATTTGGAGATAGATTCCCATATGCTACTCATCACAAGGAAGACTCACAGAAAGAGGCTTTTAAAATTATTTCCCAAGTTTTGCTAATATGGAATTCTTCCTTCCGTCCCACACGATAGGGTTAATATTTTGACTTTTCACCCAGTTCTCTTCTGCACATTATCAGAGTATTTACCATAATATCAAGATCTGTTTCCTGACCAGTCAATATCGGCAAAAACCACAGTTAGTGAGAACATCAGGGAGTTGACCTTGACTTGAAGGCAGCTGTGCTTGTTTTGTTGGATGCAAAACAATTCTGTTTATGTCTTTTTTTTTCAATGTTTTTGCTTCTCTTCCTGCCTTGAATAATTCGAGTAAATGGATTGAGGGCATCGGAAGAGGTCCCAGCAATCCAATCGGTAGTTTGGAATTATTTGGTACAGGAATTATTGCCATCATCTTACCCACAAAATAGCCACTGTCTTACTGGACTTTGTACAAGAATCCTTAAGAAAGTTCTTTAAAAGCACTACAAAAATCTATCTATCTATCTGTCTGTCTGTCTCTACCTCTCTTATATCTATCTATCTATCTATCTATCTATCTATCTATCTATCTATCTATCTATCTATCTATCTATCTATCTATCTGTCTGTCTGTCTGTCTGTCTGTCTCTATCTATCTGTCTGTCTGTCTGTCTGTCTCTACCTCTCTTATAATCTATCTATCTATCTGTCTGTCTGTCTGTCTGTCTGTCTGTCTGTCTGTCTGTCTGTCTGTCTGTCTCTATCTATCTATCTGTCTGTCTGTCTGTCTGTCTCTACCTCTCTTATATCTGTCTGTCTGTCTCTATCTATCTATCTAGATGGATGGATGGACGGACGGACAGACAGACAGACAGAGAGAGAGAGAGAGATATAGAATAGAGCTGGAAGGGACCTTGGAGGTCTTCTAGTCCAGCCCCCAGCTCAAGCAGGAGAACCTCTATCGTCTCAAACAGGTGAATGTCCAGTCTCCTCTTAGAAACCTCTAGTGATGGAGTGCCCACGATTTCTGGAGGCAAAGCTGTTCCACTGGTTGATTGTCCTCACTGTCAGGAAGTTTCTACTTAATTCCAGGTTGCTTCTTTCCTTGATCAGCTTCCAACCATTGTTTCTCGTCCTTCCTTCTGGTGCTCTGGTGAACAACCTGGCCCCCTCTGCCTTGTGGCAGCCCCTCAGATACTGGAAACCTAGCATGTCTCCCCTGTTTCTTCTTTTCTTTAGACTAGCCAAACCCAAGTCCCGTAGCCGTCCTTCGTATGTTTTAGTCTCCGGGCCTTGGATCATCTTAGTTGCTCTTCTCTGAATTTTTTCTAACTCTCAACATCTTTTTTGTGATATAGTGACCAAAACTGGCTGCAATATTCCAGGTGTGGTCTTACTAGGGCTTTGTAAAGCGGTACTAGTACTTCACACAGAGACATACGTATATACTTTGTTGTAACTTTGAACGGTCACTAAACGAATGGTTATAAGTTGAGGACTCTCAGTATTGTTCAAGATTACTATAGCACCAAAATCCTGGGCCGTTGAGCTTTTCTAATCAATAAACAAACAAAACAGGCTTTCGTGAGCAGCAATACGGCCCTCCCACTTTCCAAATGTACGGCATAAAATGGAGAAGATTAAACATTAACCAGTTATAGCTTTGCAACTACAGGGTGTAACTCTTACCTGGAATATGCTGGCTCCATAAGGGGTCCGCCAGGCGTTTAGCAGATTGTCCTTCCCTGTACTGACAAACCATTTTCCTGTAAGTGGGATAAACGGAAGCAAGCTTACGGGTCTCTTCGAGGTCTGATCCTGGTTAGCTTATTTCCAAGATCAGGCAAACTCAGTTAGGGAGGGAGTTTTGTTTTAAACTCGCTATTCGACGGTTCTGCGTATCTCAGGCAATGTGCAATACAAATCCATCAGTAAGAGCAGTATTCTGCAAACTCTGCCACTTTAAGACAGGTGGACTTCAACTCCCAGAATTCCCCCCACCAGCACCCCAATGGTGCCCAAAACCTGGAATGTTTTGCACAGAATCCCGGAATAGTGGACCTGGAAGGTACCCCAAAGATCATCTCTAGTCCAATCTTATGCATTGTGCAGGAAAAAAAAAATAGAATCCTAAAACTGTGGATTTGGAAGGCACCCTAAAGATCATCTAGTCCAACCCCCTGCACGGTGCAGGAAAAAAAAAAGAATCCTAAAATCGTGGAGTTGGAAAGTTCCCTAAGGATCATCTAGCCCGGCCCTCAGGAGTCTGCAGAAAAAAAAAACAGAATTCTAAAACAGTGAAGTTGAAAGGCACCCCTAAAGATCATCCAGTCCAACCCCAGTGCTCTTCCAGAAAACCAATCCAGCCATTCTTGAGAAGGGGCGATTTCTCTCTCCCAACACCTAGAAGCAAAATTGTGTAATCTTGTACAGTTGAAGTCCCTCTGTCTTAAAGTGGCCAAGTGTGGAAAAACACAGAGTTAGCGCATCTTCACAACACAAACAGGCATGTGGAGGGTGAAAGGAGCCCCTTTAAGGAATGACACCTACCACAGGAAGCGAACTTCAGGGAGAGGACGCAGCTCTCGTGAAGATGCAGCTGGTACTTCTCCGATTTCGTCACGTGGAGGATTTCCACGTTGCTGCTCTCCATCCCGACCGCCAGCCACTCTCCCGTGGGGCAGTAGCCCAGGGAGAAGATCTGGAGAGATAGGAGGGAGATGGGTGAGAAGGAAAGAAGGAAGGAAGGAAGGAAGGAAGGAAGGAAACAAAAAAAGAAAGAAAGAAAGAAGGAAGGAAGGAAGGAAGGAAAAAAAGAAAGGAAAGAAAAAAGAAAGGAAAGAAAGAAAAGGAAGAAAGAAAGGAGGAAAGAAAAAAAGAAAAAGAAAGGAAGGAAGGAAAGAAAGAAAGAAGGAAAGAAAAAAGAAAGGAAGGAAGGAAAGAAAGAAAGAAATAAAGAAGGAAAGAAAAAAAGAAGGAAGAAAGAAAGAAGGAAAGGAAAAAAGAAAAGAAGGAAGGAAGGAAAAAGAAAAGGAAAGAAAAAAAGAAAGGAAGGAAGGAAAAAGAAAGAAGGAAGGAAGGAAGAAAGGAGGAAAGAAAAAAAGATAAAGGAAGGAAGGAAGAAAGGAAGGGACAGTTGAAAATTAAAGTTTAAAAAGGTTTGAAGGCCAGGATGGCATGGAATGGCACGGAATGAATAGAGTAGAGTAGAATAGAGTAAGGAAAAAGATGGGGCACTTGCAACAGAAGTAGAGGAAATGGAGGCAGAAACTAAAACCGGCCCCAAATTCAGTCTGAAGATTCTAGTCCTCACGATGGCCAAAGCCAGATGAGGGTTGCAATCTCACCAAACCCAAGATGAGGAAACGGAGGCACCACATTAAAAGTCTGAAGATTCTAGTCCTCGTGATGGCCAAAGCCCGATGAGGGTTGCAACCTCACCGAAACCCAGAAAAGGGGCAGGACAGTTTTCACGAGAGATAAAGCTTAACAAGAGAAGCAGGAAGGCACGAAGCCGCCCTTGTGTTTTACAGACTTTCTGGCATGAAATCCCACCAGGACTGCCCCAATTTTGCTGGGCCCTCCTTCTTAAGCTCCCCAACCTGTTTTCTCCCCTCTATCCCGGCTGACCTGGGAGCTGAAGTCGTGCTGCTGCAGCTGCCGGCCTTCGCGGAGGTCCCAGCATCGGACAGTGTTGTCCAAACCGCCGGTCCAGAGTTTGGTGCCATCATTGGAAATGTCGATGCAACTCGCCCCGTCCGTGTGACCCTGGAACTGCCTGGAGGGAGAGGAGAAGGAGGGGAAAGAGGAGGCGGAAAGAAGAAAAAGAGAAGAAGGAAAAAGAGAAGGAAAGAAAGAAGCATTGGAGGAAGGAGGAGAAAAGGAAGAGGAAGAAGAGGAAGAAAAAGAGGGAGAGATGAATACAAGAAAGAGGAGCAGATGGAAGAAGAGAAGGAGGAAGAAAAAAGAGAAGGAAGAAAAGAAGCATGGGAGGAGGAGGAGGAAGCAGAAAAGAAGAACACCGAGGAAGAGGAGGAGAAGGAAATGAAAAGAGATGGTGGAAGAAAAAGGGAAGAAGCATAAGAAAAAGAGGGAAGACGAGAAGCATGGAAGAGGAGGAAGAAGAGGAAGAATAGGAGGAAGAGGGGAGAAGGAAGAGGAGGAAGAGGAGGAAGAGAAGTAGCATGGGAGGAGGAGGAGGAGGAGGAGAAGAAAGGGAAGAAGAATAGGAGCAGGAAGAGAAAGAAGACGGGGGAAAGAAGAGGAAGAGGAGGAAGGAGAAGAAAAGAAAAATGGAGGAAGAGGATGGAAAGGAGAAAGAGAATCATGAGCAAAAAAAAATATATATTCACATTCCACGGATGTCGCATTATCTTCAGGAACTCATTAACCAAACTCATGCACGTTCCTAGTCCTTATGGACATAAAAGTGTGCCTGAGTGCATTTCATAGCCATGCCTGCCAGAAATCAGTGGAACATCACAAAAAAAGCATTCCCTTGGGGTGGACTGTCTCCACCACTTGCAAAAGCTGAGAATATATCAATATCGGAGACACCCTATAAATAATTGGCATCCTTTTGATGACTTTTTTTGTTTTATGGAACCAGCCTTCCGATCACTTGTATTCCCTTTTAATAATAATAATATAATAATAATAATAATAATAATAGAGTTGGAAGGGACCTTGGATGTCTTCTAGTCCAACCCCGTCAGGCAGGAAACCCTATACCAGTGATGGCGAACCTTTTAGAGACCGAGTGCCCAAAAACTGGCCCCGCCCCCCTACCCCACCCCCTGCCCCACCCCCACCCCACCTGCCCGCAGGGCCACTCACTGCCTCCAGGGCCCACCGCAGATCGCCCAGGCAGCCCAGCAGCGCCATGGCATCCACACACCCTCTGCCCGTGCCCTGCAGCATCAACTGTGTGCGATGGGGCGTGAGGGCAGAGTCTTGTCTACGCTGCCTGGCTGCCATGTCCTTAGCTACACTGCTCCACGTGGGCCACGCTCGGGGGCGACTCCTCCAGGGGGGCTGCTGGTGAGGAGGGGGTCACAGGGGGAGGCAAGGCTGGGGCAATGGCACGTGGGCCCACAGAGAGGGCTCCGAGTGCCACCTCTGGCACCCATGCCATAGGTTCTCCACCACTGCCCTATACCATTTCAGACAAATGGCTGTCCAGTCTCTTCTTAAAAACTTCCAGTGTTGGCGCATTCACCGCTTCTGGAGGCAGGTTGTTCCACTGGTTAATTGTTCTCACTGTCAGGAAGTTTCTCCTTAGTTCTAGGTTGCTTCTCTCCTTGATCAGTTTCCATCCGTTGCTTCTTGTCCTGCCTTCAGGCGCTTTGGAGAATAGCCTGACTCCCTCTTCTTTGGGGCAGCCCCTGAGATATTGGAACTCTGCTATCGTGTCCCCCCTGGTCCTTCTCTTCATTAAACTAGACATACCCAATTCCAGCAACCGTTCCTTATATGTTTTAGCCTCCAGTCCCCTATTGGTTGATACAATGCAGAAAAATGGGAAAATATTTCAATTAACTATTAGGTTTAATGGCAATATTAAAATCAACATTAAGTTAAAACTTCTGCCTGGTCTGTTTTAAGAGGACCCCAAAGGTGAGAGGTGCCTTGGCCAAACTCCGTGACTAGATGGGTGCCTGGAGTTGGTGCTTTCCCACGCCAAGCGGTCACGGCAGCCCCTCGGATCCGGAGGAGAGTCCTTACCGAACCAGCGTTTGGTTCTGCAGATCCCAGACCACGATGTTGCCGTCGCTGCAGCAGGAGAAGCAGACTTTGGCGTCGGGGCTGATGGCCAGGGCGTAGCAAGCCGGGGCGGAGGAGGTCAGCTCGGCCTTGATCCGGGGCGTGGGGGCCGCCAGATCCCAGATGGACAAGGTGCTGGCTTCGCCCCCCACGATGAGGCTGTGGCCGTCGGGAAGAAGCTTGCAGGATCGGATGTAGTTGTCTCGGTTCTGGGAGGGGGGGGGAGAGAAAAGAGAAAATCAGGAAGGGGGGGAAGACACAGCACCCCCCCATCCCTTGCCAGGGGCAGGGGATTGGGCCCTCAAATCTGCTTCCTGGGAAAGATACAATTCCTCCTTTCTGGAGCCTTCGAGGAGATTGTTAACAGAAAAGTTCCTGGCTCCTTCGGTGAGCATTAAAAGCAGGAGAGCCGTAAAAATAAGACAGCCCGACTTTAAATCTAGGATGTCAGTGTAAAGCATTCATGCTATAAACCACCATAAGTGTTTCTGGGAAGGATGAGCATTGGCCGGAAAGATTTAAAGCTAAGGAAACAGCTGGGGGGGGGGGGAGAGGGAGGGTTTCTTTCAATTGGCTATGGAAGGAAGGAAGGAAGGAAGGAAGGAAGGAAGGAAGGAAGGAAGGAAGGAAGGAAGGAAGGAAGGAAGGAAGGAGAGGGGATTGAAAGTGGGAGTAAAGGAAGGAGGCAGGGAAGGAGAGCAAGAAGGGAAGGAAGGGAAGGAAGGAGAGGAAAGACAGGAAAGGACGGAAAGAGAAGGAAGGAGGAAAGGAAAAAGGGAGGAGAGGGAAGGAAGGGAAAAATGGAAAAGGGGGGAGGGAGGGAAGGAATGAAGGGAGATAAAAGAAGGGAGAAGAGACTGAGGGAAGAAGGAAAAAGAGGAGAGGGGACTGAGAGAAAGAAGGGAAGGATGGAAAGGGGGAGGGAGGGAGGGAAAGAAGGAAGGAGAAGAAGGGAGAAGAGACTGAGGGAAGAAGGAAAAAGAGGAGAGGGGACTGAAGGAAAGAATGGAAAGTGGGAGGGAGGGAAGGAGAAGAAGGAAGAAGAGACTGAGGGAAGAAGAAAAAAGGGACTGAGGGAAAGGATGGAAAGAGGAGGGGAGGGAGGAAAGGAAGGAAGGAGAAGGAGGAAGAAGAGACTGAGGGAAGAAGGAAAAAGAGGAGAGGGGACTGAAAGAAGGGAAGGATGGAAAGTGGGGGAGGGAGGGAAGGAAGGAAGGAAGAAGAGACTGAGGGAAGAAGAAAAAGAGGAGAGGGGACTGAGAGAAAGAAGGGAAGGATGGAAAGAGGGGGAGGGAAGGAAGAAAGGAAAAGGAGGAAGAAGAGACTGAGGGAAGAAGGAAAAAGAGGAGAGGGGACTGAGGGAGGGAGGAAAGGAAGGAAGGAGAAGAAGGGAGAAGAGACTGAGGGAAGAAGAAAAAAGAGAGGGAACTGAGGGAAAGAAGGGAAGGATGGAAGGAGAGGGAGGGAAGGAAGGAGAAGAAGAGGCTGAGGGAAGAAGAAAAAAGGAGAGGGGACTGAGGGAAAGAGGGAGGGAGGGAAGGAAGGAGAAGAAGGAAGAAGAGACTGAGGGAAGAAGAAAAAGAGGAGAGGGGACTGAGGGAAAGGGAAGAATGGAAAGGGGGAAGGAGGGAAGGAGAAGAAGGAAGAAGAGACTGAGGGAAGAAGAAAAAAGAGAGGGGACTGAGGGAAAGAAGGGAAGATGGAAAGAGGAGGGGAGGGAGGGAGGGAAGGAGAAGAAGGAAGATGAGACTGAGGGAAGAAGAAAAAAAGGGACTGAAAGAAGGGGAGGATGGAAAGAGGAGGGGAGGAGAAGAAGGAAGAAGAGACTGAGGGAAGAAAAAAAAGAGAGGAGACTGAGGGAAAGAAGGGAAGGATGGAAAGAGGGGGAGGGAAAGGAGGGAGAGAGGAAGGAATGGATGGATAAAAGGAAGGAATTAAGGAAGGAAAGGGGAATGGAAGAATGGAAAGATGAGGAAGGGAAGAGACAGAAATAAGGAGAAGGAGGGAAGAAAAAGAAAGATCTGGGGAAGGATCATCACAAAATCCAATCTAGACTCGACCCAATGCTTTGCCCACGACCATTCGGGGCCACTCCTGCTTCTTCGCTTACCAGGCAGTCCAGCTGCGCCACGGGGGTCTTGGTGCCCGGCTGCCCCACGTCCCAGACCTTGACGCAGCCTTTGCCCCCCGTGTAGACGTGCTGGGTGGAGTGGCTGATGGTGACGGCGCAGACCACCTCGCCGTGGGAGAGCGTGTGCAGCTGGCGGGCGTGGCGCGGGATCCCGGAGCCGATCAGGGCGTCGGGCGGGAAGGGCACCGGCTGCATCTGCCCGTCCGCGCTTACGTGGAAGGAGTAGGCTCTGGGGGTGGGGGGGGGGAGAAGGACAGACAGAGCCAAAGAGAGAGGCCTGCTTATAGACAACCTACAAAGGGACTGTGGGGAAGAGAGCCGAGCAGCTGGAATCGAGCAACATCTGGAAGACGAGATCAGATATGAAGCCACGCTCTCTGAAGCTCTCCGCCTTTGGCTCTGCTCTCCAGCTCTTTTTGACATTCAAGTCTCGCGCTTTCGGTCTCTCTGGATCTCAGCTAAAACGCTTAAAATTCTCCCCCTCCCCCTCCCCCACTCCCGGAGAGAGAGAGAGAAAAAAAGAACCCTGCAGCAATTAAGAGCAATTTAATAGTAGCTGGATGGATAAAGAGAGGAAGGGAAGGGAGAAGGGGAGGGGAGGGGAGGAAAAGGAAGGGAAGAAAAGAGGGAAAGGAAAGAGGGAAAAGAAGAAAGGAAAGGAAAGAAAAGGAAGGGAAAAGAAGAAAAATGAAGAGAAGAAGGAAGAAAAGAGGGAAAGGAAAGGAAAGGAGAGGAAAGGAAGGGAAGAAAGAAAACAGGGAAGGGAAGAAAAGAGGGAAAGGAAAGGAAAGGAAAGAGGGAAAGGAAAGGAAAGAAAACAGGGAAGGGAAGAAAAGAGGGAAAGGAAAGGAAAGGAAAGAGGGAAAGGAAAGGAAAGGAAAGAGGGAAGGGATGAAAAGAGGGAAAGGAAAAGAAAGAGGAGAGGAGAGGAAAGGAAAGGAAGGGAAGGAAGGGAAGAAAAGAGGGAAAGGAAAGGAAAGGAAAGGAAAGAGAGAAGAAAAGAGGGAAGGGAAGGGAAGAAAAATGAAGAGAAGAGGGAAGAAAAGAGGGAAAGGAAAAGAAAGAGGAGAGGAAAGGAAAGGAAGGGAAGGAAGGGAAGGAAAGAGGGAAGAAAAGAGGGAAAGGAAGAAAAATGAAGGGAAGAGGGAACAAAAGAGGGAAAGGGAAGGGAAGAAAAGAGGGAAAGGAAAGAGAGAAGAGAAGAAAGGAAAGGAAAGGAAAGGAAGAAAAGTGAAGGAAAGAGGGAAGGAAAGGAAAGGAAAGAGAGAAGAAAAGAGGGAAGGGAAGGGAAGGGAAAGGAAGAAAAATGAAGAGAAGAGGGAAGAAAAGAGGGAAAGGAAAGGAAAGAGGGAAGGGATGAAAAGAGGGAAAGGAAAAGAAAGGAGAGGAGAGGAGAGGAAAGGAAGGGAAGGAAAGGGGAAGGAAGGGAAGGGAAGTGGGAAGGGAAGAAAAGAAAAGAGGGAAAGGAAGGGAAGGGAAAGGAAGAAAAATGAAGGGAAGGGGGAACAAAAGAGGGAAAGGGAAGGGAAGAAAAGAGGGAAAGGAAAGAGGGAAGAGAAGAAAGGAAAGGAAAGAAAAGGAAGAAAAGTGAAGAAAAGAGGGAAAGGAAAGAGAGAAGAAAAGAGGGAAGGGAAGGGAAGGGAAGAAAAATGAAGAGAAGAGGGAAGAAAAGAGGGAAAGGAAAGGAAAGAGGGAAGGGATGAAAAGAGGAAAAGGAAAAGAAAGGAGAGGAGAGGAGAGGAAAGGAAGGGAAGGAAAGGGGAAGGAAGGGAAGGGAAGTGGGAAGGGAAGAAAAGAAAAGAGGGAAAGGAAGGGAAGGGAAAGGGAGAAAAATGAAGGGAAGAAAAGAGGGAAAGGGAAGGGAAGGGAAGAAGAGAAAGGAAATGAGAGGAAGGAAAGAAAAGAGGGAATGGATGAAAAGAGGGAAAGGAAAGGAAAAGAAAGGAGAAGAGAGGAGAGGAGAGGAAAGGAAGGGAAGAAAGAAAAGAGGGAAGAAAATGGGAAGGGAAGAAAAGAGGGAAAGGAAAGGACGAGGAAAAGGAAAGGAAGGAAAAGAGGGAAAGGAAGGGAAAAGGGAAGGAAAGAGGGAAGGGAAAGGAAGGAAAGAGAGAAGGAAAGGAAGGAAGTTTGGAATTTTTGCCCTGCATAATGTCCAGGACCTCCGTCCCGGAGAGGAGGGCCTTGATTCCTCCCCCCCGACGCTTTCAAAATGGATGCCAGAGATGCGGCTGAGCTTCACTTACGGCTTGGCAGAAGTCATGCCGGCCTGCATTCCCGCAGAAAGGCCTGAGGCCCTCAAATGCGCGTGAGGATCATAAGCGACCTAGAAGGACAGGAGGATCTTCGGTTAATGCCAGGGAGGACCCCCCTTCCCCGGCTAAGGGGCCTTCTCCCCACAGACTCACCAAAGGGGAACGCCCGTAGCTGCCCGTCCCCACGACGGCGGCCCCGTTCAGCTGGGGGGAGACCAGGTGCAGCCCGGCGTAGGCGCCGGTGCCCACCATGTCGCCGTTGACTGAAACATGGGCGACGTTAAAAGCCGCTTGATAGGAACTTTGGACGGTGAGCGGATTCCGCAGGCTCAAAGCTGGAACCAAAAGAGACGATTCTCTCGTTCATTTTCCCCAACGGCTTCAAATTCACCCCAAAACAGTGCTGCTCGGCCTCAGCAGCTTTAAAATGTGTGGACTTCACCTCCCAGAACTCCCCGCCGGCAGAATTCTGGGAATTTACACCCACAGATTTGGACTGAGGAATTCTGGGAGTTTTAACTCCACAGATCTGGACTGAGGGATTCTGGGAATTGAAGTCCACAGATCTGGACTGAGGAATTCTGGGAGTTTTAAGTCCACAGATCTGAACAGGAATTCTGGGAGTTTTAAGTCCACAGATCTGAACTGAAGAATTCTGAGAGTTTTAAGTCCACGGATCTGGACTGAGGAATTCTGGGAGTTTTAAGTCCACAGATCTGAACTGAAGAATTCTGGGAGTTTTAAGTCCACGGATCTGGACTGAGGAATTCTGGGAGTTGAAGTCCACAAATCTGGACTGAGGAATTCTGGGAGTTTTAAGTCCACAGATCTGAACAGGAATTCTGGGAGTTTTAAGTTTACATATCTGGACTGAGGAATTCTGGGAGTTTACGTAAACAGATCTGGACTGAGGAATTCTGGGAGTTTTAAGTCCACGGATCTGGACTGAGGAATTCTGGGAGTTTACATGCACAGATCTGGACTGAGGAATTCTGGGAGTTTTAAGTCCACAGATCTGAACTGAGGAATTCTGGGAGTTTTAAGTCCACAGATCTGAACTGAAGAATTCTGGGAGTTTTAAGTCCACGGATCTGGACTGAGGAATTCTGGGAGTTGAAGTCCACGGATCTGTACTGAGGAATTCTGGGAGTTTTAAGTCCACAGATCTGAACTTACGGTCTTAAAAGCAGGCCTGCATTTCAATTTAACTCCCCTTTCTCTCTCCATCACTCTCACCCACACTCACTTGTCCAATCTTAAACTTCAAAAAATAAGCAAGCTATGTGTTACACACTTTCTAAGTCAATTAACATTCTGGCCAACCACTTTTAGCCTGCTAGTAACTTTTATGAGCATATTGACAGGGGTGCTTTAAAACTGTCCTTTCATCAGTTCCACATCTTCCTTCAGATAAATTTGGTCTTCCACTTTATTATGTTTTTACTGCTTTCTTAATAGCTTTACTGGTGATGCCTTCCTGCCACAGATACTTTCCTCCCTACAAAAAGAAAAAAAACCTCTTTGCAACTCTTTGTTAATCCAATGGGAATTGCTTTAAGTTTCTAGTCCTTATGACATGCACAGACGTTTGTGAAACAGAACCAGGGCGATTTAAAACTGGCCATTTTAAAAATTATGAACTTCAGTAAAAAGGACAGTAGATTTATCTTCATCGATCAGATGCCCAGAAAACCTTTTGTCAGTGCGGCAAAAAAAAACAAAAAGAACCCAGAAATTTTATCAACATAATCTTTGTGCATTGCAGCAATAGGAAACTTTCTTTCAGTTTTTTTTCTGAGTTCTTCAGACTTCGAATTTATTTTTTATTTTTTTACCAAAAAAAGTATGTTTCTTCTTCACCCAGGGGCCGTATAAAAATTTGCCCTTTTTTTTTTTTGTAAGTTCTGTTATACTGCTGACTCCACAACTATTCATTCTGGCTTCGTAAGACTTCACAAAACAATCATACTTAAAAATTTTTTAAAACAGTTTAGAAAAATGGAGAGAGAGAAAGGGGTTGGGGTAAAGTGGGGAGATATTCATCTGATTCCTAATTTTGCATTTGCCTTTCATCAGGGACCCTATTATTAATTCCCACCCCCACACTACAGTTAGAAAACTAGCACCTGTGTGCTAATTTTCTCAATGCAGGGAGGGGCCTCAGCAATGTTGCAAGGTGTAATCTCCCCTTAAACCACTTCCAGCATCCCTTTTCACCCTCCACATTACCGAGCGACTCCACCGTCTGCTTCGCTACTCCTGGACGGAACTGGGAGAGGCTGCCAGACGATCCGGGCATAGGTCCATCGCCTTGGGAATTTGGGGTGTTGGACTTCAAACCGGGAGTAACTGCTTTCTCTACCTGCAAAATACTGCTTATTTATTGACATGAAAATGGAAAATTAAAATAAAAGGCTCATTTATTCGTATTCGACCCCCACCCCCCAGCTTTCCATGGTCCACACCGATCCTCAAATTATTTGCATTTCTTCCTGTTTATCTATCTTTGCCTGTTCGTCCATCTATCTATCTATCTATCTATCTATCTATCTATCTATCTATCTATCTATCTATCTATCTATCTATCTATCTATCTATATCTATCTATCTTCTGTGTCTGTCTGTCTGTCTGTCTGTCTATCTATCTATCTACTATATCTTCTGTGTGTCTGTCTGTCTGTCTGTCTGTCTGTCTGTCTGTCTGTCTGTCTGTCTGTCTGTCTGTCTCTCTCTCTCTCTCTCTCTCTATCTATCTATCTATCTATCTAACTATCCATCCATCCATCCATCCATCCATCCATCCATCCATAAATATGGTTACTCCTCAAATTACAATCACAATTGGGACCTGAGATTTCATTACTAAGCAAGGCACTTTTTAAGCGAGTGGTGCCTAATTTTATGAACCTTTTTGCCATGATTTAGGCCAGTGGTGGTGAACCTATGGCACGGGTGCCAGAGGCGGCACTCAGAGCCCTCTCTGTGGGCACGTGCGCCATCGCCCCAGTCCTAGGCCTTCAGCTGGGTTTTATAAAACCTTTTCGCTTTAGGCCTCCGCTGCCGTGTACAAAAAAAAAAAAAGGTTCGATCAATCAGTCAATTTCAACTTCTCGCGGGAAAAAAAAAAGATCTTGCAAAGTTGGAATTGATTGATTGAACTTTTTAGTCCCACCCAGTCTGCCGTTACCACCGCAGCCACACCCAGCCAATGGGCCACACCCAGCCAATGGGCCACACCCACCCGACACTCAACAACGCATAAGTGGGTTTTGGGTTGCAGTTTGGGCACTCGGTCTCTAAAAGGTTCGCCATCACTGATTTAGGCGAATCACTGCAGTGGTTAAGTGAACCCTGCAGTCGTTAAGCGAATCAGGGTCTTTCCTCATTGATTTTGCTTGGCAGAAGCCAGCTGGGAAGGTTGCTAATGGCCATCACCTGACCTTGGGATGCTGCAATTGTTTTAAATGCATGCCGGCTGCCAAGCGCCTGAATTTTGCGACTGTGGGGATGCTGCAATGGTTGTTAAGTGTCATAAATCAATTTTTTAAAAATGCCATTGCTGCTTCCAACCATCGTTAACCAAACGGTTGTAAGTTAACGGCCGCCTGCAAGAAAGTTTAACGAAGAGAAGGACGAGGGGGGACATGATAGCAGTGTTCCAATATCTCAGGGGCTGCCCCAAAGAAGAGGGAGTCAAGTTATTCTCCAAGGCGCCTGAAGGCAGGACGAGAAGCAACGGGTGGAAACTGATCAAGGAGAGAAGCAACCTAGAACTAAGGAGAAACTTCCTGACAGTGAGAACAATTAACCAGTGGAACAACCTGCCTCCAGAAGCGGTGAATGCTCCAACACTGGAGGTTTTTAAGAAGAGACTGGACAGCCATTTATCCGAAATGGTATAGGGTTTCCTGCCTGAGCAGGGGGTTGGACTAGATGACCTCCAAGGTCCCTTCCAACTTTACTATTATTATTATTATTAAGTGTCGCCCTCCTGAGAACGCTGCGGACCATTGTGTTCACCCTGTATTGCTGGAACGTGGGCGTTTAAGCGCCCCTTCCCCAGACGCTTGGGAAACACCGCTAGAAAAATGGTCCAATTTTCAGAATGTGACCTTGAATGCAGCTTGCGCTCAAAGGGGCCCCACGAAGCGTTTATCCTTGCCATACAAATCCTACATTTATCTGCAGAAAGAGGCCACACAGCATAGCAGAATCTGCCTCTGGACCGCATTTAATCTCATAACGCCAGGAAAACAAAGCAAGCTTTTCCAAAACAAAGCTGTGCCTCCAAATCTGTTTTAAAAAGTGTTAAAATGGCAGGGAAGGGGGGGGGGAATGGAAAAGGGAACAAAAAAACTCCCTAAAGCAGGACATGAAGTTGATTCTCTCCCAGGACTGGAAGTTTGCCAAGAACGTTACATGCATATTTGTAAAAATCTTGTTCTAACGATTTCACTTTTGTGCCATACGGGTAGTCCTCGACTTATGACCACAATTGGCACTAATATTTCTGTGGCTAAGTGAAACATTTGTTAAGTGGGCTTTGCCCCATTTTACGAGCTTTCTTCCCACAGTTGTTAAGTGAATCAATGCAGTTGTTAAGCAAATCTGGCTTCCCCATTGACTTTGCTTGTTAGGTTGCAAAAAGAGGATCATGTGTTCCCAGGACGCTGTAACCGTCGTAAATACGAGTCAGTTGCCAAGCGTCTGAATTTTGATTGCGTGACCATCGGGATGCTGCCATGGTTGTAAATGTGAAGAACAGTCGTAATTCACTTTTTTCAGGGCGGTTGTAACTTCAAACGGTCACTAAATGAACTGTTGTAAGTCGAGGACCATCTGTATTGTAAAATTGTTTTGATGATTGCACAAACTGTGCAGTTTTGCTTCGTGCAATAGGGTGCTTGCCCTGATACCATTTTCATTCATCTTGGATGCAGCTTGCATCATTGTAGGAAAGAATACAGAGAAAGAGGGCAGAGAAGAGCAACAAAGATGATCAGGGGACTGGAGGCTAAAACATATAAGGAACGGTTGCTGGAATTGGGTATATCCAGTTTAATGAAGAGAAGGACGAGGGGGGACAGGATAGCAGTCTTCCAATATCTCAAGGGCTACCCCAAAGAAGAGGGAGTCAAGCTGTTCTCCAAAGCGCCTGAAGGCAGGACAAGAAGCAACGGATGGAAACTAATCAAGGAGAGAAGCAACCTGGAACTAAGGAGAAACTTCCTGACAGCTAGAACAATTATTATTATTATTATTATTATTATTATTATTATTATTATTATTATTATTATTATTATTATTATTATTATTATTATTATTAATCATCGCACAGTCAGCCAGATGTTCAGACTGGATTTGGCATTTTTGTCTACCTATCGAGTCCTCACCAAGGACCTGGGATAGGCAGATGTGGATGTTTGATGGTACTACAGATATCGTCACAGGATGGAAGCAGTTCCTAGTAAGGCCGCCTTTTGCAATTGACTAATGGCGAATTTGTCAATGCCAATGGTGTTCAAGTGGTGCCCCAGTTGTTTTGGGATTGCACCCAAGGCGCCTATGACTATTGGTACCACTCTTGCTTGCCTTTGCCACAGTCTTTCTATTTCTATTTGTAGGTCTTTGTACTTTGTTATCTTCTCCAGTTCTTTCTCGTCTATTCTGCCGTCCACGATCCAGACTTTTTTGTCTTTCTTATCGACAATTGTTAAGTCCGGGGTGTTATGTTGCAGGTGCTTGTCTGTTTGAATTCTGAAGTCCCGGAGCAG